CTCATGCTTGCTTTCTTTTGCTTAAGCCCTGTCGCCCCTTCTTCCTTCCCTCCCTCTCTGTCTCTCCTCCTCTTCCTCTCCTCTTTCCCTCGCTCTGCCTCTGCCAGTTCTGCCGGGTGGGGGCTCACTCCTGCTTCCCTGGGGTGCCAGGAGAACATCCTGCCTTTCCTTCCCACCCACCACTCCTTCCCCTCCAGGCCACTCTCCCGGGTGCTGGCAGACAATTTCTCCCGCCTAGGCCGGGAAGAGAGGGTGCAGAGGGAGTACCCCAAGCCTTGTTACGACGCCTTCTGCAGCAAGTGCCTTGACCCCGTGACATTCATGCCTCCAGCATTCAGCTGCCCCAACTCCCAGCTCCAATTACCCGCTGGCTGGCTGCAGGGGGAGGGGGACTGTGCAGAGCCCAGCTTCGGGGTGCTCCTCATTCTGTCTCCTTGGCTGTTTGGATCTCCAGCCTCCATTTGTGTGTGTGTGTATGTGTGTGTGGTACCGGGGATCAAACTCAGGACCTTGGGTGGGGGATTTAGCTCAGTGGTTCTGCCACCTGCTTTGCAAGCACAAGGTCCTGAGTTCAATCCCTGGTACCAAAAAAAAAAAAACCAAAACCAAAACAACTCAGGACCTTGTGCTTGCCAGGCAGGCGCAGCGCCACTGAGCTAAATCTCCAACCCAGGAAGGTTTGCTTTTTGAGACAGGGTCTCACTATGTAGCTGAGGCCCCTGAACTCATGGCAATCCTCTTGGCTTAGTTTCCCAAGGGCTGGGATTCCTGGCATATGCCACCACACCCAGGTATCCTGCCTCCCATTTTTGAAGGCAACTGGGGCAGAGGGCCTGAAGTTCCGTGGGGTGCAGAGCAGGGGGCACAGGTGTGGCCACAACTGTCCGTCAGTGGGCATGAGGGCTGGATGTGGCCAGGGAGGTGACCCCTAGACCTGGATGCCCCCCTTGATGCCTGACTGGGGTTCAGGGAGACTCGAGGTGGGTGAGGTTCTAGGGGAGCAGGGTAGGAAGCAGAGCTTTGATGTTAGTACTGGGCATCTGGCCCAAGGCAGGGCTGCTGTTTATGGCTGTCTGTCTCTGATCTGCAGGGGGAGAGTTTCCTGTTATATTCTGGGGGGGCAGGGAGGATCCTTTGTTGGAGTCGCCAGTTTCCCCTTTGCACACCCCCACCCCAAATCCCACTCCCTTGCCCCTGAGTTCCATCCGACAGCGGCTAGGTCAGACTCCTGGGTCAAGACCCTTTCCCTCCGAAACTCCATCCTGTGGTCCCCAGTGAGAGCCCGCTGAGGGCTGCTGGCTCCCCCCGGCCCCCGCCTGCCAGGCTGTGCCCCAGGTCTGTGCGTATTCTTCATCACACCTGCCAGACAGTGCCTGCCTCCCCGGCTTCACTCCTGTCTTTCCTGGCACAGGGGTAACAGACAGTTGGGTGGGGCAGCCGAGCCCAATCCTACCAGAGAACAGAAGAGGAGAGGGGGTCTGGGGGGAGACGGAGGTCCTGGGCCTAGGAGGCATCTGCCCCTCCACGACGTGGGGCAGGGGTGGCCATAGACCCTCAGGGACCGCGGGGTTGGTGGCTGCCCGGGGAGCCCACGTTGGCACAGAGGCAGCGTCTGTACACAGCGCCTGTTTGCCTGTGCATGCCTGCGTCTGTCTGGGCTGTGGTGGCTGCCCTGGCCCCGTGGCATGGCCCTTCTTGGCTCCCACGGTGCGGAGTCGGGCTTAGGTGCCAGGTGACTGGCGGGGGGGCCTCTCCCCCCACCCTAGCAGCAGGCAGAGAGGGGAAGGGGAGAGGGAGGTGTGAACCTACCCACAGCACTATTAATAGCCCACATGCCAGGCCACCTAGAGCCAGCTGTCTCCGTGGAAACCAGTCCTGCTCCCCCTCCCCCGCCTCCATGGGGTGGGACTTAGGCAGGGCCCGAAGCACCCCCACCCACCTCTCTTTGTTACCTTTCTCCCTTTGTCTCCCCTCCGTCCTGTCTTCCTGTGCTCTCCTTCCCTCCTGTGTCCCCTTCCCACCTGGCCAGTGGCCCCTCCTCACCTCTCCTTCCTTCCCTTTCCTCTACGTGGTTGACATCCCTAGTTGTGCCCCCCCCATGTCTTTGTTCTTCCGTCCTCCTCCCCCAGCCCCTCGGCCTCCTGCTCGCCTCTGCCTGGACTTGACAAGGAGGGCTGGACTTTCTTCAGAGCACTAGGGCCAAAGTTCAGGGGCCTCAGAATGTGGGACCAAAGCCAAGTGGAGACATTCAGCCTCGTATTAAGTACCCTCGGGGCTGGATCCCGGGGGCACAGACTCCCCACTGGCAGCCCTGACATTCTGTGGGTTGTCCCCTGGTCCACAGGGCTGCAGAGCAGGACAGACGGCAGTGGGAGCGTGGCGTGGTGCCCGTGGATGCCACATCAGTCCCTGTCCCTGTCCCCCCCGTCCCAGAAGCACTTAAGCTTAATGAAATGCTTCCCCCTCCTCGGGCACCTTGCCCATGCTGCCACCAGGCGGCTCTTATCTGACAGGGGGAGTGGGTGGCCGGGCCAGCTGACAGGTGGGTCTTGCTGTCCATGCCATCCGGATGCATCTCAGAGCCCCAGAGCTCCATGCCCAGGCCTCCCCTGCCAGGGCTGTGCCAGGCAGGAGCTTAGGAATATGAAGCTGGACACCTGGGGGGGTAGGCTTCCCTACCACCCCCAGGACCCTCTGCCCCCCACAGATGCAGGGTCACATGGTTGGTGCCTCTCTGCATGCTGTGCCTTCTGCCTGGGTTCTCTGTTGCCTTAGAGGCTCAGGTGTCCCTGGGGAGACTTCAAGGAGTCCCCAGGGGTTCTAGACTCTTGCCAGGTGCCAGGCAAGGGTGCCCCAGGCAATGAGAGCAGACGTTGGTCTGCTGCCTACTGCCAGGGGCCTAACCATAGCCCGGACTGCACCAGCTGGCACTGGGGCACCGTTTAGCTCTGAACGGAGGTGGGACAGAAGGACTCTGCCCCTCCCACCAGCGGGCACGTGCAAGCCCTTGGGAGTGCCCAGACACATTTGGAGTTAAAGCTGGGCCAGGGAGGGGGAAGGGGAAATGCAGAGGGTGGTTTAGGTTGGCATGGCCCCAGGTCTCCCCTGTAGCAACTGGTAGCCATGGGTGGAGGAGTAGGGGGCCCTCAGAGCTATGACCTGGGGCGGGAACTGCCCGTGCCATGTGGCTGCTGCCAGGGTTCCCTGCCCAGCCCGGCCCGGCCCACAGACGCCAGTGCCCAAGCCTACCCGCCCCAGCCCTGTTCGCCTGCCCCCAGGACCTGCTCCCCAGGGCTGCCCCTCTCTGTGCCCACTCCTGGGCCTGCCTCCTCTCCTCCCTGGGGGTGCTTGGGCCTCCGGCTGGCGAGTGGATTTTTCCAGCTTCTGTAAACAAGTCGTGGCGGTGTGCCAGGCAGGCAGGAGACAGGCGGGGGCAGCACCGCAGCCAGGGTGTGCCAAGCACAGGCATAGCTCGTAGGGGGGACACACGGAGACACCCAGAGCCGGGGAGAGAGACGGGGCGCTTAGATGCAGATGGGCTGACCATGCGGCCCCTGGGCCTATAGAGTAGGAACAGAGCAGCCTCTATTGTCCACCCAGCCCGGCCCGGCCTGACCAGCCCTGGCCAGGCCCACCCCGGCTTCTCTTGCCCCTGTCCTTCTTTGCTCTGGCTGCAAGCAGCAGGCCCCAGTGCCCAACCCCAGGCCACCCCACCCGGCCCTTCTCCTCTCCCACCTCCACCCCTTAGGGCTGGCTACGCCATTATAAATTTATAACAGGAATTTCTCCACAAGCCAAGAAAAACTTGACCTAGTTTCTTGACGGCTCCCTGGGCTAAGGCTCCCCACTCCCCCCCCACCCTGCCTCCAGTTCAGCCCCCGTGCCCAGTTCTGGCCTGGGGGGCTCAGAGGCAGAATGGGCCACTTTTCTGTGCTCCTCCTACACTCCCCAGCCCGGGGCCACCGGGTGCCCTGGCTTATCTCTGCCCCCTCTTCTTACCCTGGCCCCTTATCAGCTCCTGGGGTGGGGCTGGGGGGCCCAGGGCAAGGTCTCTGGTACAGGGGCCACCTGGGGAGGTTGAGTGTGAGGACCTGCAGCCCTTTGTCCCTGCCCACATGCCGCACCTGCCTGTGAACATGGAGACAGAAGCACAGGTCTCCACCCAGGGCCTGAGGGGCAGCAGGTTGGGGAGGTGGGCCCAGGTTGGCACTTCCCTGGCCCCAGGTGGCAGAACGAGGATGGCATTAGGGCCTGGCCATGAGACAGCCAGAGCAGTCCCTGTGCCACCTGCGTCCTGGCGGTGTGAACTAGAGGGAAGGAGCATGCTTCCTGAGACTCAGTTTCCTCCACTGTCGAGTTCTGAGGCTCACTTTGAAAGCACATTTATTCAGCCAACATAGTTTAGTTTCCTTTGCTCTTTCCCTTGCTATCCCGGTGGGTGGTGGCTCAGCTAAACCAGCTGAGAAGTCCCGTCCTCAAGCTGGGCAGTGGCATTTAGGATCGCATGCCAGAGTCTGATGATCAGTCCTGGCCTTCGGGGACTCTCTCCATCAAGGTGCCAGGGTCAGCATTCACCATCCCTGTACGCTACCCCTGTGCGCCCTAGCCTGCACCAGAGGCCCCCTCCGCATTCTGGAAACTTCTGGTCTCTGGTCCCCTCTTGGCCCTGTGATCCTGATGAATCTTAGGAAACTGGGGTAGACTGGGTCATGACGGCCGATGTTTAACACTCACAGAGGGCAAGGTATTTGAGTGTGAAGTTGCCTGTGATGCGTATAACCTCATTCTTTCCCTCCATCCTCCGTGTCTGGGGTGTGGGATGCGCGCTCCCGTCCTACCTGCTGCTCCTAGGCTCTGACGTTATTCTGGTCCTCTGCCTGTGCCTGCCCTGCGTGCCCACCTTGTTGTGGGCCCCAGAAGCCCCAAATGTTGCTCTCAGAGGAATTCTGCCCACTCCCCCCCAGCTCTTCCTTACCCCAGCCTCTGTCTTCTCTCCACAGGAATCTCCCGACAGGACAAGACTCCAAAGCGACTCCCCAGCCCCTAGCCCAGGACCCCCCAAACCCAGCCTGCCCCAGCTCCCCACCTGCCACTCCCTGGCCCCTCCCACCACCCGCCCCCCTTGGGGCGCAGGGTATGGTGTGAAAGGGCCGAGTGCTGGGCAAGTAGCATGGGTGCTGGGCCCTAAGGCCTGGGCGGCGGGGGTGGGTGGCCTGTGGGTGTGCCGGGGGGGCCAGCGTGCCTGCCCCAGTCTCTTGGCGTGCTGGAGGGCATCCTGGATGGAATTGAAGTGAATGGAACAGAAGCCAAGCAAGGTGGAGTGTGGGTCAGACCCAGAGGAGAACAGGTAATGCGTGGGCCGGGCAGCCTGCTGGTGTCAATCCCAGGCAGCAGGCACCATCCCCTGCCTGGCAGAGGAGAGCTGGGAATCCCTCACGCTCCTCTGGAGATGGGCATGAGGCCAGCAGGCAAGGGGACCTGGCCTGAGGTCCCTGGGAAGTAGGCACTCGGGTTGAGAGATGCCCATGTGGGAGGGGAAGCGACACACAGCAGAATGATGATGGCGGCAGACATGTGGCCCCGCCCCTGACAGTGCTGGAGGTCTCCAGGTCCCAGGGTCCTCGCTGTCATGGCTGCTCTCACTGGAGCCTGTGTGACCTTCCCTCCCCGACAGTCCCTCCCCATCTGACCACAGACAAGTGGTGTCCACAGCTGTGGCGCCCAGAACATGACACTTCAGGGCACACGCACCAGTAACTACTGGTCACGGCCCACACTTCCACTTGGAGTCTATTGGGAGCGCCACAAGCTCTTCCTTGTTCACGCTCAGGGCGGCCACTGCTCTGGGGCTCCTCCCAGGAAATGGAAACACATGCCAAGTGTAAAGGCTTTGCTTCCACGTGGGTGAGGCGACAGCTCTGCACTCACAGGCATGGGCATCTGTGACCCGCCCCATCCTTGAGCTGCCCAGAGGGTCCCTGCCACTCCTGTCAGCTCTAAGTGCCACAGAGCTCTGTCCCAGTTGGCATGGTGTCCCAAGAACCGGGTACAGCCTGTGCCTATGGCCAGGGAAAGAGCGGGGGTGGGGGTGCTCTGGGGAGCAGTGTGGCTCCCCGTTGCCTAGGAGATCGGATGCAGAGCCAGGAGGCTAGAGGCCAGGCCAAGCCCTGGGGCCCAAGCCTGGTCCCCCGAGGGGTAGAGGAAGTGATGGGGCTCTGCTGTTGTGTACACGGAGCACTGTGGTAACGCCCCTCCCCCAGACCCTCAGCCAGTAGGAAAAGGAACGTCTGGCCTGTCACTGTAGAGCTGTCACTTGCATCCCCTGTATTTTCCTGCCCAGACTTCTCTGGGTCCGGCAGAGGCCGCCCTTAAAGGCGGGAAGGCAGGTTCCCAGCGCCCCAGGACGGCAGCCCCTCCTCCTTCTCCTCCCCTCCCCTCCCCTCCCCTCCCCCACGTCCATGCGCCACCTCGTGGCTGTCCCTGGGACTGCACCCAGAGGCCAGGAGGCGGGTAGTTGTGGAAGAAGACAGCGCCGCTGGGGCCTAGGTGGGCGAGGTGCCCTGCGCGCACCCTCCGGAAGGCGGGCGGGAGGCCTGACCCTGCAGCCTCCTTGGAACCAGAGGAGGGTGATCCTCAGGGGGCGTGGAGCGGAGGGCTGTGTGCGACTGTGACCCTGGCCAAGGTCACTGTGTCAGTGTGTTGGGAGCTGCATCCGGCTCCAAGAGGAGGGGCCCTGCGACATGCCACGCGCAGGGTGGGTGTGGAAGGTTATACAATCCTTGCATGCATGCATGCAGAGGGCTTATGTAAGCTGCGTGTACTGCGATTATGTAACATGTATGTGCAGAACCTGGCAACATGTATGTGCCGTGGCTGAGGGTGGCTAATAATGCCCTGCATGGAGGGGCTCAGGGTCCTTGTCCTAGCTCGGACTCCAGTGCATGGTGTCGCCAGGCACAAGTGCACTTTGGTTTGTGGCTCTGCTAAAGGAAGAATGCAAGCGGGATGATCCAGTATTTTCCGTGGCTATGGGTTATTTAGCATGTGGGCGTGGCCTGGAATCAGCAACACGTTCACCCTAGGGGAGGGGAGATTGCCGGGTGCCTGTTCACCGGGTTGTATAACACACGGCATATCCTAGGGGTCATGTATCACCCTTGAGAGTGGCTAGAAGTGTCAGAGATACAGATCCCGGGACTTATTACCATACTTGGGTTTATACTGCAGGCTGCGTTCTTATGCATACGGGCGGGTGTGTGCTGCATATATGCGAATGTATTCTAAAGGTTACACAGCTTGGAGAACATTCTGAGGATCCTTTCAGCATATTTATCATCTATGAAGTCTTAAATATGAGGCTGTCCTGTGGATTGTGGGTGCTTGAGATCTGCAATGTGTATGTGTGTGTGTTGAGACCTTAGAACAGTGCTCGTGTGTGTGTGTGTGTGTGTGTGTGTGTGTGTGTGTGTGTGTGTGTTGGAGCCCTAGAACCTGCTTTGGGCTAGCCAAGCCCCTTATCTTTCCCTGCAGCTACCAGATAGCCAGGCCCTTCTAAGCTTTGGCAGCTGCTGTGGGGTGGGAGGTAGACCGAGGACAGAAGATGGAGGTGCTGGGCGTGGGGATTGCAGGCGCCTCTTGGGTAAGAAGGGGCTGCCCCAGGACTGCTCTGTTACTCTGCCCACTTTGTCCCCATCCAGTGCCAGGTCACCAGATGGAAAGCGAAAAAGAAAGAACGGCCAATGTTCCCTGAAAACCAGCATGTCAGGTGAGCCAGGCCTCGTGTTCCCTGCTTACCATACCTCTCTCGGTCCTGGCCTCGCTCCAGCCCCTCCTGCATCCAGGGAGAGCTCCCAGGGGCCGTGGGGGGTTGCCTGGGGTGAAGAGCAGTGACGTGGGACACGTCCCAGCCTTTATAAGGGGTTAGGTCCAGAAGGGCCTCTTCCCTTCTCCAGGAGCCACCTCCCTGTGGGGCCCCACCAGAATCAGGGCCTGAGCAGTGGGTGACAAGGGCCAGGATTCTCCTGCAATGAGCTGCTCTCCCTGCTGCATCTCTCCCCTTGGTATTGCCGGGTACAGTGCTCTAGGCCTGTAGTCCCAGCTACTTGGGAGGCCGAGGCAGGGGGATCACTTTAGTCCAGGAGTTTGAGGCCAGCCTGGGCAACACAGTGAGACCCTGTCTCCAAACTGAATAACAAAAAGAGTTGGGGATATAGCTTATTGATAAGAGCATTGCCTAGCATGCATAAGGCCCTGAATTTGATTCTCAACACTGCAAAAATGGAAAGGGAGAGAGGAAGGGAAAGAGAGAGAAGGAAGGAGGGAAACCAGCCAGCCAGGCTTGAGTGGGCAGTGAAAAGAATCTCCAGGTGGGGGCCCGGGATTTAGCTCAGTGGTGCCACCACCTGCCTCGCAAGTGCAAGGATCCAAGTTCGATTCCCAGTACCAAAAAAAAAGAATCTCCAGGCTTCTGCCTTTCTACCTGGAGACAGAACCGTTCAGCGAGCCTGGGCTCTGAGATGGGGCAGAAAGGAAAGGCTGGGGCTGGGGGGAGCCTGGGAGGAGGCTCTCTGCAGGCCCCGCACCATGCCCGCTCTCTCCACCCCTTCCTCTGCCCAGGGTACATCCCTAGTTACCTGGACAAAGACGAGCAGTGTGTCGTGTGTGGCGACAAGGCAACCGGGTATCACTACCGCTGCATCACTTGTGAGGGCTGCAAGGTAAGGACAGGGACCCCGCCCTCCTCAGCCTCCCTCTGAGTCCCTCCACTCTGCTTGTACTTCATCATCTTTCTTCTTTTCTGCATTCAATTCATTCATTCCTACTCCCTGTGCTACTCACAGGTCAATTGCCTAACCTCACTGAGCCTCAGTTTCTTCGTCTATAAAATGGGGATAATCGTACTACCTGTCTCACAGAGTTGTTGGCAGAATTAATTTACACGAAATGTTACCATGTGCCAGGTGCATGAGAAGAACTTGATAAATGTCAGCTATTACCCCTCCAGGCAGTGTATTAGGAGTGAAGGGTGCAGCTGGGCATGGTGGTGCACACCTGCACTGGGAGGTGTGAGGCAGGAGGATCACCATGAATTCAAGGCCAGTCTGGGCTACATAGCAAGACCTTGTCTCAAATAGACAAACAAAAAGGCATATATCTTTATTTGATGAAGATTCAACAAAGCTTAACTCTTCCTACTGGTGCCGGCTTGATTTTTGAGTGTTTTCCTTTAAAGCCTAGACTAACCCAGATACACAGCACTGAAAATTTCCATTTTCATTTCAAGGTACTAGAGCTTATGCCCAATGTCTTTTCTTGACTTTTGATCCTCCTGTTTCATAAACTCTTACCTGACTGAACACCAGGCATCATACTGTGTATGAAAATGGTTTTGAGGTTAGTGTTGGGTTTAGTTGCGTTTAACTCCAAATGGGAAGCCTGAATGGAAAATAAGGTAAGTTGGGCTTCCAGAGCTGCTGTTGCTTCCTTCAAGCCGTGAAGCACCTCCTACCACTCCAGGCCCAAGGCTCCCTCTGCCAGCCCGAGCCCCCTGGCCCTCCGAAGCCTCCGGGCTGGGGGAGTGTACTTCTCCTGTTCTTCAGCCTGGCAGAGCCTGGCCAGCCTAGCTGGGCATCAGAGCAGGGCAGATTCCACACCCATCTCGCTTCTCTTTCCGCCCCTGTGAGCTGTGAGGTTGCTTCAAGAGGGAAGTCAGGTTAAGAACCTGTGCCGTCCTCCCCATCCTAGGGCTTCTTTCGCCGCACAATCCAGAAGAACCTCCATCCCACCTATTCCTGCAAGTATGACAGCTGCTGTGTCATCGACAAAATCACCCGCAATCAGTGCCAGCTGTGCCGCTTCAAGAAGTGCATCAGCGTGGGCATGGCCATGGACCGTAAGGGGCACAGGCCCGGGAATGCGGGCAGCTCAGAGCTAGCAGCTTCCTTCCAGGGTGCCCTTGGGGCGTAGTGACGGTCCAGGCCTGACGTGGACTGGGTGGTGTCAGGGTGTTCAGGGACTGAGTCCCTGCTGCCTCAATGCCAGGGGGCAGGAAAGAGGATTCCGTGGGCCTGCCAAGGCCTCAGTGCCTACGGCCTTCACTCCAAGGGCCACCCTGAAAGTGTTCCTACCCCCAGAGTGGACACTTGTTCTAGGTGCGAGGGCATCTTTCATTGGCTAGGGCCCGGGTGGCGGATCACCTGGTAACCAGTCACCGTAAGATAGACCTGGGGCTTCCCCAGAGTGGCCCAGTTGGAATTGACGTGGCCTCAGTGGTTGTGGTTGATCATGGTCTAGGCCATACACACCTGCTGGGTGATGTAGGAAGTCTCAGCCTCCCTGGCCCTTGGTTTCCCCACCCAGGAAGTAGGCTGTGGAGAGGGTGGAAGTGTGCCAGGCAAAGGGCCTCATGTCCGTCTGTCCACAGTGGTTCTAGATGACTCGAAGCGCGTGGCCAAGCGCAAGCTGATCGAGCAGAACCGGGAACGGCGGCGGAAGGAGGAGATGATCCGGTCCCTGCAGCAGCGGCCGGAGCCCACTCCTGAGGAGTGGGACCTGATCCATGTGGCCACGGAGGCCCATCGCAGCACCAATGCCCAGGGCAGCCATTGGAAGCAGAGGCGGAAATTCCTGGTGAGCACATGGGTAGGAAGTGGGAGGATGCTGGGCCTAGAGCGACCCGGAGCCATCCTGACACTGTACACCTGGTTGTGTGATGTCTGCTGTCTGGATCCTGCCTGGTGCATCGCATAAGGCTTCCGGGAGGGCAGGGCCTCACCTTCCTCCTTGAATTCCAGTGCAGGGTGACCTCTCCTCGTTTTCCTGCCCACATGACCGGGAGGGGACCTCGGGGACACAGTCATGTAACAGTATTTCTGCGCACCTGCTGGGTCTCAGGCATTGTGTCAGGCCCTGGCAAAACCGGCTGCCAGGGGGATGATCGTTTGGAAGGAGATGGACAATTGGCACCTGGTTCTTGGGAACAGTGCCAGGGGGTGGAATGTGTGCTGTTGAATGTGCTCCAGAGCCCAGCACATGGGTCTGTGAAGGGCTGGTCCTGGGTCTTTAGCTTATTCTTTAGCTGTGCCAGGACTCGGTTTCCTGCTCTGTGAATGGCGATGAGTTTGTTCTTATAGAGTTGTGATGAGGATTCATTGAGATATGTAGGACATGTAGCCTAATGCCTGGCCACATGTTTTCAATTATTATAGCTGCTTATTAATATTATTATTATTTTGGCAGTACTGGGATTGAATCCAGGGTCTATGCACTGAGCTGCATCCCCAGCCTTCTTAATTATTTTTTTATTATTTATTTTTTTAAAGTGTTTTCAATTTATACCTTTAATTCCTGATACTATTCTAGATTTGTGGCTTTTTATTTTGTTTTGGTTTTGGTATGAGGGATTGAACTTGGAACCTTCCGCTTGCGAGGTGGCGGCACCATTGAGCTAGATCCCCAGACCTTTTATTTTCTTTTTTTGGTACCGGGGATCAAACTCGGGACTCTTGGCTTGCGAGGCAGGAGGCAGCACCACTGAGCTAAATCCCGCCCCCCACAGCCCCTTTTTTTTTTTTGAGAGTTTTTTTTTTTTTTTGGTACCAGAAATCGAACTCGGGTCCTTGCGGTTGCACAACAGGCGGCGAAACTGCTGAGCTAAATCCCCGGCCCTAGAGATTTTTTTGAGACAGGATCTTACTATATAGTCCAGACTGGCCTTGAATTCACTAGGTGGCCTCGAACTCAGTGATCCTCCTGTCTCAGCCTCCTGAGTATGCTGGGGATACAGGTGCACCACCACAACCAGCTTGAGACAAAACCTTGATAAGTCGCTGTTTCCCAGGCTGGGCTCAATTGTGATCCTACTGTTTCAGCCCTTGGAGCACTGGGATTTCAGGAGCGCACCACCACGCCTGACTGCATTACCATTCTTACCATTGTTATTATTAGCAGACTTGGAGTGAGTGCTCCTTCCGCTCTGTCTTCTGCCCCAAGGTTGAAGGAAAAGTCTGGGCTGGGCCACAGCCTTCCTGTCCAATTCTCCCCAGCTTCTTCCCCGAGCTGCCCTGGAGCTCCCCCTGGTGGGCAGGGAGCCTCAGTGAGCTCTTGAAAAAGGGGTCTGCAGCCCCAGCTGACCCCCAGCTGTCCCCCTAGCCGGATGACATTGGCCAGTCACCCATCGTCTCCATGCCGGATGGAGACAAGGTGGACCTCGAGGCCTTCAGCGAGTTTACCAAGATCATCACCCCGGCCATCACCCGCGTGGTGGACTTTGCCAAAAAACTGCCCATGTTCTCCGAGGTGAGTGGCAGGTGGGAGGGGACAGACATGGTGCCATGCTAGAGGGACAGCCAGAGGCACCGTGTGAGGTCCTCTGGACAGGAAGTGACCGCTGCAGAATAACACGCACGCACTGGGCACCCCCATCGAGGACCACCTGCTCCCCACACCCACCTCCCCTTGAGTCTGTCTGGCCACCTGAATCCCCTGCACCTTGGGAGGTACTGTGACCCAGAGGCTTGTGTGGAATGAGTCACGAGGGGCATGGGACTCGGGCAGGCAGTGCTGAGTGGTCCTGTGGCCCTGCCTCCTGCAGCTGCCTTGTGAAGACCAGATCATCCTCCTGAAGGGGTGCTGCATGGAGATCATGTCTCTGCGGGCGGCCGTGCGCTATGACCCCGAGAGCGACACCCTGACACTAAGTGGGGAGATGGCCGTCAAGCGGGAGCAGCTCAAGAACGGCGGCCTGGGTGTGGTCTCTGATGCCATCTTTGAACTGGGCAAGTCACTCTCTGCCTTTAACCTGGATGACACGGAAGTGGCTCTGCTGCAGGCTGTGCTGCTAATGTCAACAGGTACCTGCCCATAGGAAGGGGGGACCCCGAGGCTTCCAGGGCTCCCAGAGCTTGGCTGGACCCTGGGCCTGTTGGTGTCCTTCCTGAGCACCACAGATTCTCTCTGTCCCCTAAACCCGTCTGTCCCATCCCCTCTCCAGGCTGCCTCTGTGTCCCCAGACCCACTCCCCACTCTGTTCCTTCTCCTGTCTGCCCGTTTCCTCTCTGTCCCCCACAGGGCCCCTTTGTGCTCACCCTCCACTTGTTCCTGTCCATCATCTAACCCCCATCCTTTACCCGCCTCCCTGACCACCAACCCCCCTTTTGGGGAGGTTGAGACAGGGTCTTGCTGTGTAGCCCAGGCTGGCCTTGGATTTGCAGTGATCCTCCTGGTTCGGCCTCCTGAGTGCTGGGATTAACAAGTGTGTGCCACCACGCCCAGCCCGACCGCCTGCCCCTCTCTGCCTCAGTCTCCCTCTGCCTTTCTCTCGCCCTCTCCCCATGCATCACTCACACCATGGCTTCCCCGGCCCTCAGCGTTACCCCACACCTCCTTCCCTTCCCCTCAGACCGCTCGGGCCTGCTGTGTGTGGACAAGATCGAGAAGAGTCAGGAGGCATACCTGCTGGCGTTCGAGCACTACGTCAACCACCGCAAACACAACATTCCGCACTTCTGGCCCAAGCTGCTGATGAAGGTGACTGACCTCCGCATGATCGGGGCCTGCCACGCCAGCCGCTTCCTCCACATGAAAGTCGAGTGCCCCACCGAACTCTTCCCCCCTCTCTTCCTGGAGGTCTTTGAGGATCAGGAAGTCTAAAGCCTCAGGCGGCCAGAGGGTGTGCGGAGCTGGTGGGGAGGAGCCTGGAGAGGAGGGGCCGAGCTGGGGCTGAGGGGGACCCCACCTCCTCTCTCCCCCCTCTCATCCTTGGATAGATGCAGCTCCCACACACCCCTGCACTGCCCAGGTCCACCCAGAACCTCCCGCCCTGGGACGGGGCACACAGATGAACTTGCTATGAGAGGCTAGTGTGGGAGGCTGGGACCCACGTCCTGTAGTTCCAGGGACCCTGTCCTCTGAGAAGTGGGGGAAGGTACGGAGACCATAGGAGAGGAGCCATGTGGCTGGGGACTGTGCTGTCACTGCCCCTGCACACGAGGGAGAGAGTCCGCCGGCTCCTTGGCCGAGGCTTCCCCTCCAGGCTCAGGGCCTCTGTCTCCCCACCGCCTGGGCCTGGGCGTAAAGGATGGCTTGGGCTGGGCTTTGCTCCTCCACTGGAGGTTAAAGATGATAGTCATCCTACCTGCACTTTGGAAACCAAGCGAGGGGAGAAGATAAATGAAGAAAAACTAGACAGAGAGAAAAAGACAAAAAAGAGAGCGAGCGATAGAGAGAGATGATATTAAGTTATTAACCGAGGCTGGCCAGAGGGGAAGCACCTTCCTGCCCCATGCACTTTGAGAGCTGCCCTCCCCCCCCCATCAAGAGAGAGGCCCTGACCCCCCCCCCCGGGGTATGGCTGCCCTCGGAGCTGTGAGTCAGCACGACAGGCCTGGCCGCCCACTTCCTTGCCCCCACCCCCAGCACTTCCTCTGCCCTCTGCCACTCGTGCCCGCTGAGTTCCATCTACCTCTCACGCTGGATGCCAGCTGGCGCCTCACCAGCCTGCCCTGCCACCCGCACAGCTCTCCCTTTCAAGTGCTCAGCCCCAGGGGCCCCTCCCTGGCCCCCTTGCCCCCCACTTGGCACCCCCACAGAATGAACGGTGGCCCGGTCCCTTCCCACCTCATAGCCTGCAGTATTAGCTACAATCCAGTTGCTGCTGGGGGTTATGTGAGCGGCTCCTGGCGCCTCCACCCTGTGGGACTCCCGCTGTGTTCCCCCTTTCCTGGGCTCCCTCTGACCCCTGTCCTCTTCCCCGACCCCCTCCATACACTAACCCAGCCTGGGGTGGGCACACGGAAGAGGGGTGTTTGCAGCCCTGCACTAGCCCGGGGAGGGGGCAGTGGGTGCTCCTCCTGTTTTCTTTGAAGCTCTAGGCCTGCTGCCCTCTGTCCCCCGGAACCCCTTCCCCCTCTTTTGTCTAATTCAGGGACTTTGGCTTGAGCCCCCGACCTCCTGGTGAGGAGCACTCTGTTGGTCTGCACTTGGGGGAGCTGCCCCCTCTTCTCCTCCCCCTGGCCAAAGCCCACTCCTCTGGGGAGGCCGGGAGGGAGGAGGCAGGCAGGGGGACAGAGCAGACCAGAGGGCCCTGGGCTCAGGGCTGCACGTCGGCAGGGATGGATGGGTGGACGCAGATGCCCCCGGAAGCCATGGGGAATGGGGTGGGGGGTGGGGTGTCAGGGCTTCCCGAGCTTTGCACTATTGGGGCACAAATGTCTTAAGCAGTGGGGAACCTGCCACTCCACTCTGACCCTCAGCCTGCCACAGCCCCTGCACGCACGCACGCACACACACACACACACACGCACACGCACACAGAAGGCAATGCCACGCCACCAGCCCGGGCAGGGTCCTTCCCCTCCATCAGGTGTCCGGCCCGGCCAGGGCCCGGGGAGCATCGTGTCAGCCGTGCATGTGCCTGCCCCGCCCTCCGGGCCCAGCGCTTTGCCATCTTATTTCTCCTCTCTCTCTCCTGGGGCACTGATCCCGTACCCTCCAGTCCCTCGGGAAGCCCGGCCCCGCTCCGTGCCGAGGGGCCTAGTGCAGTTCCTGACCTGTCCGCTTTCCCCCTTCCTCTGCCATAGACATGCTGGCCCCCGCCCCACCCGTTCCCCCTTCATTGTCACGGGATGTATGTATGCGTTTCTCTGCGTGAATGTGCGCGTGAGTACACGGATGGGGAGAGCCAGGACTCAGGAGTGCCACGCACCTGCTCTAGCGAGGCAGCTGTCCCAGTCCCTGCTTCGGAGTGAGGGACAGGGCCCTCTCCTGGGGGCCATCGGTGCTAAGGAGGGGGGTGGCCTTGCCATGGGTGCTTCGCACACCTCCTCCAGTGTTGGCCCGGGGCACTAGGGCAGGCAGGCAGGGTGGGGCAGCAGGTGCAGTATCTGGGGGGTGGGGGGACTGACTGGTTGCCAGGAGTAGGCTGAGGGCCCAGGCAGGACAAGGGGGTGCCAGAGCCATGACCACTACCTGCCCCGCCACCCCTCTGCATCTCAGTACAGCCCTCCCATCACTTGCAATACACATACCTCATCCAGCCTCCTCCTGCTGGGACCTGGGCAGGGCACGGCGGGGGAGCCCCCCTTCCTGGGCGGTGCGGGTCTGCAGGGCTGGGAGAGGGCAGGGCGGGTGACAGACACCGGCCAGCCACAAGGGGGACAGTGCTTCCTGCCCTGGGACCTCCAGGGTGGGGGTGGGGACACTGCCCAGAGGCTACTGAATGTATGAGAAGCTGGTGCTGGGGTGGGGGGAGGGGGTGGTGGCCAGAAACAGGGAAGGAGGCCAGGCCCACCCCGGGAGGGGGCACTGTTGGGGGTGACTTGAGGGGCTCCTACTCCTGCCCCACGCTGACAATCAGTATGTCTGTTATGTGCGATTTTTCACCCCGTTTGTTTTGGGTCAGGATTTTAAAGAAAGATATTTTTATGGTAATTGTTGCTCGTCTATTTTACTATATATTTATGTAATAAATATATGATGAAAATAACCCCCTCGGGCACCCCCTTAGATTTGTGTGCTGTTTCCCTACAGCCTCCCCTCTGCTGGCCAACCCCCCGCCCCACACAGTGACCAGATGGAGAGGTGTCCCCCGGCCCCCAGACTTGGCAGTAGTTTCCCCCACCCCCAAACAGCACACACCACAGAAGCCAGCTCAGCTGTGAACTATTGGATTTGAGACAGGAACAGAGCAAGTCAGGGGGCCAGAGTCGGGGTGGGAGAGCCAGAGAGGTTTAAATAGGGGAGGGTGGGAAGCGTGGTGAAGGGGCGGAGGGGAGCAGGTATTTACAAGAAGGCTCAGGGGGCCAGAGGCTCATCTTGGAATATTTTATAACAATATAAATAAGATTCTGGTTTGCTTTTCCTTTTCGTCTCGTAAAGGAGAGAGAAGTGCAGAGTTCGATTCTGTACAAGGGGGCAGCGGCGGAAGGCCGGCCGGGCGGGTCACTGGGCGTCCACCCGGAAGGACAGCAGCTTCTCGGAATGCATGTTGTTCAGGGTCCGCAGGTCCGGCAGCTTGAGCAGCAGCTTGGTGAAGCGGGAAGTCTCCGAGGGCCGGTTCTTCAGCACCAGAGCCCGAAGAGCCCGCAGCAGCGTCTCCTGGAGGTGCTCCACCGAAGCGGAGTCCTCCATGCCCGAGCGGTCTGTGGAAATGACGACAGCAGCGAGACAAGCTCCCTGAGCTCGGAGGAGGAGGAGGAGGAGGAAGAGGAGAAGGAGGAGGAGAAGGCGGAGGAGAAGGCGGAGAACGACCCTGGGGTCTTCGAGGACCTGCCAGGCACTTCGGCCGCTCCCTGAAGCCCCCCCAGCGGCCCTGCACGAAGGAGAAGTTGGGCCACACGAATCTCCTCCTCCCGAGTCTCCTCCCTGCATGCACACAGCGCAGATGGACCACACAGCATGGCCGGTGCCCTTGCCTTTGCTCTGTAGTTCCCTTTGCCTGGGATGCCCTTCCCCCTCTGCCTGGCACCATCTTCCTTGTCCTTGGAGGCCCCACTCAAGTGTCACCACCTTCCCCAGTTCCCCCAGGCAGAAATAGTTGTCTGTGCTTCTTTAGTTCTTGCTTCTATTGTGACACTTATCTCACTGTTTTATAATTAGTCGGGCATGAGTCTGTTTCCCAAGCTAGACTGTGTCTCAATCATGTCTGTATCCCCAGTGCCCGGCACGAGGCCTGGCATAGAATAGGTACTCCATAAAAGGTGTGTTGAATCCGACTGCGTCTGCCTCCTCCCGGGTCAGGCTCTCGAGCTTCCCCTACCTGCGGAGACCAGCACCACGGCGGTGAAGAGGCCCAGCTCCTCCTCGGTGAGCGCCAGGGAGTTGAGCTTCTCACTGAAGTCGAACATGGCGCTGAGCAGGTCTCCCATGCCCATGGCGCCCAGCTCCTGCAGGCTGTAGGTGGTGCGGCTCAGGAACATCACCGTCTGGTCCTTCACGTTGAACAGCGATGCGAATCGCACCATTAGCACCTGGAGTTGGGGCAATGGTCCTGGGTAAGGTGGGAGGAGCCACTGCCACAGCACCCGGAGGTCTGCCAAAGGGTTTGGTGGTGCTGCCTTAGATTTGTCAGGGGTGGGGGGTGAGGGGTGAGGGGTGGGGTGGGGGTCACTGGATCCACAATCAGTGTACCAGCAAGGAAGGGGAGCATCCAATGGCTTGGGATAGGCACTTCTAGAATGGGGGGAGCAGTGCACCCCAGGGCATTATCTTCATGTCACAAGTTGCGGTCAGACACCAGCTGAGATGACAGAAGTCCCAGCCACCCAGAGGCGGGAGTCCAGGGTGTTCTGCCCTTCCCTCAGATACTGGGTTCCAAGGCCCTTCAGAGTCTCCGCCCACCCGACACCCAGCCATTCTGCTGGGTTCTTCCCAAGGTCACGCACCTCGAAAGTGCCAGCCTTCAGCAGGGTGACCTGGTCGTGCTGAGAAAGGTCACGGAAACCTGGGATGTGCTTGGCAAATTCGACCACCTCTCGCACGGCGGGTGTGAAGCTCATAGAGAAATCCTCCCAGATCTCCTGCACGGTCCGGCCGCTGCGTCCATGGGGGTACATGTTCATGGGGCACGCCTGGGGAACAGCAGTGAGGGGAGGGCGTCAGCCAGGCCAGCCTGGGCTGGGGGCCATGGCCCCCAGCATGGGTGGTTCACCAACAGCACTCGTGCTAGCTGGAGGTGCCCCGCCCTGGCCCTCCGTACCCCGGGCCCTCACCAGCAGGACGTTCTTGGAATTGCCTTGCCGGGGACTGTTGGCAGGTGCCTCGCCCTCCGGGGCTGCGTACACATGGGTGGGGCAGAGACGGTGCCCGTTGCTGTTGGGCTGGTGGCAGCTGTGGTGGGCAGGGCCAGGCGGCCAGGTGGGAGGGTAGGAGGAGGGGGCCTGGCGTAGGCCATTCAGGGCCTCGTTGTGATGCTGGGCAGCCGAGGCACTGTTGTCATTGGGGACAGGAGGACAGCACTGACTCTCCCAGCGATGTGGGGTGGTGGCCAAAGGGCTACCCGATGCATGGTTGGCATTGAAGTTACCAGGCGAGGGTCCCAGCTTATCATGGGCGTAGGTGAAGATCTCTCGATGGGCCCGGGCCACCTGGGATATCACATCCTCCACAGTGGGCTCTGGGCTTGGGGATCGGGGTGGTGTCAGCTGCTGTGGGAACTGGGAGAAGCCCACCAGGGGGGAGGGAGCCAGAGCTGGAGGTGGGGAGGGGCCCATGGGGCGGGAGGTGGGGTGCTGGGTGGGCGAGGTCTCCAGTGGGCACTGGCTGCTCAATTGGTTGTTGGCCAGGTTCATGGCACTCTGCATCTCAGCCAACATGCGCTGCTTCTCCCGTTTGGGGATGCGCCCGAAACGCACAGCTGCAACAGGATGAGCCGTGTCAGGGAGTACACACGCATGTGCACGCTAACACAGCTCTTCTCCTCAGAGGAGCAAGACCCTGGAGGCTGGGGTTCTGCATCCTACTAAAACCAGCAAGGCCACACCCATCCGGGGTTTTCCAAGTAGGATGTCCAGTGGGCGGGGCTCCACTCTCCACCAATGGGAGACAGGGATGTTTTTACCTAAGCGGTAACACATGGGTACGCTCCATGCAAACGAAACTGGTACCCTGGGCCTCAGTCTGGGACCATTTTTTAAAGGAGGGATGAAGTCAAATGCTGGGTGGAAGGGGAGAGGAGGATGTGGGTGCTGCAGCCCTCACCGTCTCGAGACATGCCCACGGAGAGACACTTCTTGAAGCGACACTGCTGGCAGCGGTTGCGGTTGATGCGGACAATGGAGCAGTTCTCGTTTTTCAGACACCTTTTGTACTGAATGTTCTGCTGGATGCTGCGACGGAAAAAGCCCTGGAGGGGAGTGCAGGGGTGGCCAGTGAGCATCTCTGGCTGGCCTGGTCAGGTCCGGGGGGAAGTTGCCGGGCTGCCCTCTCCCCCACCTGCCTCACCTTGCAGCCCTCGCAGGCGTGCACACCATAGTGGAAGCCGGAGGCCACGTCACCGCACACTTTACACAGAAGCACCATGCCGTTGAGCTCTGTAGAAGATGGGGGAAGAGGCATGTCTCTGTGGCCCAAGAGGCTTCCTGCTCTGGGGACCCCCATAGGGAAGGAAAGGGGGGGCTCTGGAGTGTGAGGGCACTGAAATGCCCAGCCTGCGCTGGACAGGGCATAGTGCCATTCCCGAGAGACCCCTGAGGCCAGGTGGCCCAGCTCCCAGCCCAGCCTGGCCTCCTACCCCCACCCCCACCCCGTCCAGCTGCTCGGTGACTCACTGGTGATGTTGCTGGTGCTCTTGCTGGGAGACACTATGCTGCTGTCCTCCATGGCCACTTGTAGACCCCCTGGGGGGCTCCCATTGTAGGAGGAGGAGGAGGAGGATGAAGACGAGGAAGAGGAGGAAGATGGGGAGCCATCCTCACTCAGGCTGGGTGGGATGCTCCCAAAGGAGCGCGAGGGATCCTGGGTGAGGGAGCCCGTGGGCGACGGTGGGAAGTAGGTGAGGCAGCCCTGGGTCAGGGACTGGAAGCTGCCGTTGGAGCTATCGCTGTAGAGGGACTCAGGGCTGGTTCGGCTCGGGGAGGAGCCGCTGGAGCCAATGTAGGTGATGACGCCACCTGGTAGAACACAGGAGAAGGGCAGGTCGGCCACCGTGTCTTTGGTCCTAGGGTCCCACCATGCTCATCCCCAAAACACTGCTCCTCTTAAAGTTAACCATGTAGACCCCTGGCCTGGGAGTTAATAAGCAACGCCCCAACACATCCTAGACCTGACATGGCCGAAATGTAAGTGCAGTAAGGAATTCCCACACGGGTCAGACTCGGCCACTCCAACCTAGTCACAAGTCACAGCAGGGCCGAACCCACAGCCCTTGCACGGCACAGCAGCTTCTGCTTTGGGTGTGAGGTGTGACCCCAGTAGTCACCTCACACCCCCTGCTCTGGACGCTTTCCTAGGGAATGTCACAGCAACGATGAGCTGCCAGAGGCAGAACTAGGGCTGACCGGACCAGATAAATAGCTAAGGGGCACACACAGTGCCCAGTCTCCACAAACAAGAACTGGGTGCCAGTTCTAACACCAAGCCCATTCCAGGGATGAAACCAAACACGTGAAGGGATGGCTAACCAGCAGCAAAGAGCTGATGTCTTACAAAGGCAAGGATCCCTCCAAACCAGGAGGCGCACTCTCAGAAGATACCTCAGGGAAGGAACCAGCCCAGTCTGGTTCCCCGGCCTCCGAAAGATGAGTCACAGGGGACTCTGGATCGAGGAAGGACAGCGGCATGAGCTGCTGTGGAGTGAAGGACAAACTGTCCAGCCTCCGGCCCTGGAATTCCCCCTTCCTGGTCTCAGCCAGGTGACAACTCCGGTTTTCTGGCCACTCAGGGACTTTGGCCCTCTGGCTACACTGCCAAGCATGGGTTCCGCTCCCATGGTATGAGCAGAACTAAAAGGTGACCTGCCTGCCATATCCCTGCCAAGCACCTAGTTTGGCCTGCCAGGGGGCTGGGTGGGAGAAGGGAGGCTCCCAGGACACGTGTGATCTGCCACATGCCATGCCCCTGTGTCTGCAGAGGCACATGTCTTGCTCACCCACTGACACACACTCCGCTGGGCAGGGCAGCCTTAAAAATAGCTCAAGGTTGGTCAGGGTGAACCCAGGTCCTTGTAAAATAGTTGCACAACAGAGCAGCTCCTAGAGTTTCAGGGCTGGGGTGGGGGATGGGATGGGAAGCCGCTGGCTGGTACGTGAACTTGACCTACTTTACCCACCCCCGAAGGGAGTGAGACCTTCGTCGAAAGGGACTTCCCACTCTCAAGTGAAGAGGCTCCACGACAGAGTCCAGTTCTCACCTATCGCCACCAAGGGGCTTTGTGACCTAGGGGAAAGAAGGTCTCCTCTCTGGATCTCATTGTTTTTTTCTTGCCAGGTGAAAGTGTGGTGCTTCAGTAACGGGGAGAATTGGGAAGGCGGGAAAAGAAACTGGGGCCCAATGCAGTACAGTGAAGCAGGTGCAGAAAGAATACAGTGAAAGGACGAGGACCCTGGAGAAGGTGGTTAGGTGTGAGGTTCCTTCGGAAACGTAAACGTGAGGCCCAGAGGGGTCCGGGTGGCTCCCTCACCCCGCCTCCGTGATGGAGGGAAGGGGCCAGGCGGGCAGGAAAAAGAGGCAGGCGGGGGCGGTGAGTCAGCCCGCTTCACCCAGATCTCGGCTGGGCGGGTGCCCGGTCCTCAGCCGGCCTCACGTCCCCGCTCCACGTGTGCCCCTCGCACGTGGCTCCCCAACGAGGAACCCCAGAACTCGAGGCACCGCCCTCTCCGCGCCCCGTTCCCGCCTCGCCCCGCCCCTCCTCGGTGTCCTAGGTCGTGCGCCCAGCCCAGATCTCAAGCTGGGCCGGGACAACCTAAGGGAGGAGAGAAAGGAACACGCGTTGCCAGGACAACCGGGGGCGGAGCTCATTATGTAACCGGGCCGGTAGGCTGCGACCAATAGGGTGGCGGCCATGGCTTCTGCTGAATGAAAACAAACGCAGCACGTGGCCCCGGCTCTGCAGCCATGTGAGCGCTCCCGAGCGGGTGCTCTGGGTGCCCTCCCCGGGGCCGAGCCCCGCGCTCCGGCGTCCTCGAGTGCCGCTCCTGACGGTGACTGAGGATTCCCCCGTGAGATACGACCCGTGTCCCCAGCCCGCCTGTCTTGCTTGCCCCACTGCTTCTCAGATTGCCTAAAGCCTCGGGAACTAGAGGCAGGGGAACCGGAGCGAGGCGGTCCAGAGCTGCAAGGGGAGGACAGATGGAGGGAGTTTCAGGGCACAGCTCCACAGCCCCTAGCCCCCCTCAACTCCAGCTCACCCCTGTATCCGCTCGGCATTTCCTCTAGCCCGGGGATTCTGGTCCTGCGGGCTCAGGGGAGCTTTGGGGCTCTGATGGGTGGGTGCGCTTCAGGGCGCATTCCCCACCCGAGGGCCCCTCTGCTCCCTGGCAAATCCCGGGCCGGAGGGAGTTATCAGGTCCTCCCAGAGCTCCTCTGGGTATGGGGAACCGGCGGAAGCGGGGCGACAGTGACCAAGCAGGGAGGGCCAGTGAAGGATCTCATACCTGTGTTGTTGTTGGAGTCCAGGGTCGTCATGTCTTTACTGGCCGAGAGCAGTCATTCAAACCGGACCTCGAAGCACACTGGAGGTTGCGCTTGCCGCTGTCCCCCGCTGGGCACTGGCTGAGGGTGGGGAGGGGACCCCGCAGCTCGCGATCAGGATCCGGGGCACCCCGCAGCCGCAAGGTTTCGGGGTGGCCGGACTGCAGCTCTGCAGAGACGTCGGACGCGGAGCCAGCCACGGAGCTCTGCTTTGCATGGGAGAAGCAGAGGAAGTGTGTTGGGGGAAGCAGCCCGCAATCCCTCCGACTGGAAGCAGCAAGGAGGGTCGGCTCTCTGCAGTGCACCGGGTGCCACTGCAGCGCTGCAGCGTAGCGAATCTGGAGCTCCCGGTGCAAAAGTCCCAGAGGGAGAGAGGTTGCAACCAGGAAGTAAGTAGGTGATGGGAGAAATGGGGCACCCAGGCGCAAAGAGGAGAGACGTGTGCCCTGCTACGTTCCCTCGGCAGCAATATTTCACTCTGGCAATCTCAGCCGCCTTTTGCCCGAGCCTTTCCCTGGGACAGAGGACTCTGCGCAGGCGCCAGCAGCCCAGGGTTCCCGGGCCGCACGCGGCACTGGAGGAGGTACCATGTGATCCCAGGGAGCGCCTCGTGCCCCAGTGACACACTTTTCCAGCCGCCGGCACGTTGAGCCCCGTGCGCCTGCGCACTGCGCGGACTGCCGGGATTTGTAGTCCACGGACAAAGGGGCGGACCGCGTCTGTTTCCCCTTTCTACTCTGCAAAAGTGCTTGCTGGAAGCGGGGAGGAGCTGAGAGCGGAGTGGGGTGCCGGGTGGAGTGCGCCGGAGAGTCAGGGTGGCGTATTCGGGCAGCCTGTGAGGCAGGGGCATGTGAATTCCTAGGGAGGAACTGTTGGCAAGCTCGCTACTCTGGGAGATCAAAGCTAGCAGCCCCTTTCTGCAAACCTTGGAAACGTGAGGGCTTCAACGTGATTGCAGGACTGACCTGGCCCTGAGGTCACTGGTGACACAGGCAGAGACAAGGCGTGGGAAGGTTTCCCAGTCAAGAGCTGAAGCTGCCTTGTGACACAGCCCCAGAAAAGCAGCGTGACCCCCTTTCGCTTCTGCTCCATTTAGGGAGGATGCCCAGAGAGAAAGGCGTGTCCTGGAGGTGGGGATGTCCCTAGGGACTCCCTGGTTGCTTGTACACCTCCACCCCCACCCACTCGAGGTGACTTTGGGGTGAGTCATTTCCCTCAGTCTGGGAAGTTAAAAAGGACAGCAGAGAGGAACTTGGTGGTGAAAGTGCTTTCAGACCCTAAGTGATGGGGGAGAGGTGCAGCAGGGGCCTGGGGACAGTGACACCCACCTCCGCCTTCAGCGCTCCAGGGGAGTCTATGGATTCCACAGAGGGCAACTTAGAGGGCAGCGTGAAGACCACCTCCCCCCCCCCCAACTGAAGATGAAAATGAGGCTTAGAAGGGACTGGCCCAAGGTCAGACATTCATTGCTAGTGTCATTGGCTCACCCTGAACATCATCACAGAGATGGTGGGGAGATGACCAAAGGACACATTGGACAGGCCTCAGAAATGGCCAGTTTCTAGCCAGCCATGGTGGTGGACACCTGTAATCCCACCACTCTAGAAGGCTGAGGCAGGAGGATTGCAAGTTCAAGCCCAGCCTGAGGAGTTTAGTGACTTAGTGAGACCCTGAAAAATGGGATGTAGTTCAGTGCAAAGGCCCTGGGTTCAATCCTCCATACTGCAAAAGAAAAAGTCAGCCAGCATTTCTCTTCAGAGCAGCCGGAGACCCAGGGGTGAAAAACAGGTTTCCAGGCCTCAAGCAGAGGTCTGTCCTCTTTGAGAGCTGGAGTTGTGTGAAAAGATAGGAGCTCCCTCACACACCCAGGTAAGGCTGAGCCCCTGCCCTCCTGCCAGGTCCTCAGTTCCAGTGTTTTTAGAAGGGAAGTTTACCCCAGTAGGAAGCCCTCCCTACAAGGTCATGGGCCACGCTAGGGGCAGCATTCTTGATGGAAGCCTGGGAAATATGACAGCCACTGACGAGGCAGAGAAGGTAATATGGGCTGGGCGAGGTGGCACATGCCTGTAATCCTAGCACTTGGGAGACTAAGGCAGGGGGATCCCCATGAGTTGGAAGGCACAGCAAAACTCTGTCTCAAAAAGCAGAGAGAGGAGAGAGAGAGAGGGAAGGAAGGAAGGAAGGAAGGAGGGAGGGAGAGAGGGAGGGAGGGAGAGAGGGAGGGAGGGCGGGAGGGGGGGAGAAAAAAAGAAGAGGATTCTTTGCACCTAGGGGTTTGAGACCAGCTGCAGCAGCATAGTGAGACTCTGTCTCAAGGTTGACCACCAACCCTGGACTCTCAGCAGAAGTTGGGCTCCTTGTTCCAGGGCGAAATGGGGCCCGCCCTGGCCCTTGGGTCGGAGGTTGAGAAGCAGCTACAGAGTGTGGGAGGGATCGGGAGGGGCCAGGACAAACAAGGAAAGAGGCTTTTCAGGAAAACTTGGTTCTGTGCTCAGCCTCCACCCACGGGCTCTCCTCCCAGCAGCCAGTGTGTGTGTGGAGGGTAGCTAGGGGCTGAGTGTCCCTGTCTGGCACTGCCAGCTCTCTAGGACCTTCTGATTCTGTCTTAGAGCCAGGGCCAGGACTGGACTCAGAATCAGGGTCCCCAGTGAGGTCTCCACTGCTCCAGCCCCAGCCTGGCACATGGTTCCTTTGCCCTGGGTCCTCCCCGGGGCCCACGGCTCTGCTGGCTTTGGCAGGCTCCGTGGTCCTGCCCCTCCCTGGCCGCTTCCGGGTGTCAGTCCTAGGGAAGGAGCAGGGGTCCAGGCCCCACCCACCCACCCCAGCATGAGGAGGAGGAGGGCACAGAGGCAGCAAGAGCTGAGAACGGCGGCCTGAGTGGACAGGAGGCTGGGTGGTTTTGCAGTCTATCTGCAGTGTGAAGGCCTTCCTCTGCACTTTATATAGGGGCCCTCCTTTTTTCGGTTTTTTTTGTTTGTTTGTTTTTTGAGACAGGGTCTCCCTATGTAGTTCAGGCTGCTCTTAAACTCACTGTGGAGCCCAGGCTGGCCTTGAACTCGAATCAATCCTCCTGCCTCAGGCCCCTGTCTGCTGCAATTACAGGCGTGCACCACCAAGCCTGGCTTCACCTCAGCCTTTAAGCCAACTAGTATATCTCAACACAACTGCCGTCCCCTCCCACAGCTGGACATCCTCTGGCCATCTTCCTTTTCTGCTTCCTCCTCCTCCTTTTGTGTATGTGTGTGGTGGGGGATAATGGAGACTGGACACAGGGAACTTGTGATCCTCCTGCCTCAGCCTCCCAAGTAGCTAGGGTTACAGGGATGTGTCACCACACTGGCCCCAGTTCACTTCTAACACACACACATCATTCCTCGAATAGCCAGACTGAGCCCAGAGAGGGAAGGGACGCAGTAAACTGCTCTGGAAGGCCCAGCCCAGGACCCACAGGGGACACACCTCCCCTGGGTTCCACAGTCCGGGATGCAGGGGCTGAGCTTGTGCTGAGTGGCTGTACTGGATCTTTGTGTGGATTCGCTGCATGGGGAGACAGCGGCTACAGCACAGGGGTGGGACAGGGCTGGAGGCACAAGGCTGGTTGGATCCCAGACTTACTCTTGTAGGTGGTTCCGTGTCAGTGGGCGCTGCCCTGTGCAGGTCCTTCGTGGCCTACTTCCCGGACCAACCGTGGACCGACTTGGGGTGGGTCCTGCTGGAAACAGGTGCCTTCCCATCCCCCTCCCTTCTCTCCAAGGGGCCCCTGCCCCGCCCTGAACCTGTAGGAACCTGTCCGTCCAGGTGATGAAAACTGGGACAGAAACCCAAGGATGACCCCAAACAGAAAGCAGTTGTCACCCAGGACAGCTTCCTTCCCTGCCCTCCTGAATGCTCTTCCTGGTCTGTACCAGGCTGGCCAGGACTCTGTAGCCCACCCAGAGCCACAGTGTCTGGGGAGAACTTTAAGCTATGCCAGAGAGGGGCCAAGTCTGAGCTGCTTTGTTCTTTGGGGTGAAGGAAAAAGAGAAGGAGAGGCTGAGCCAGGGAGGGGTTCCATGGGTGCATTTTTGGTAGGGGGTGGCTGAGACAGGATCTTGCGATGTTTTGGGGGTTTTTTTTTGGTACCGGGGATCAGACTTGGGTCCTTGTGCTTTTGAGGCAGGCGCAGGAACCACTGAGCTACATCCCTGGCCCAGGATCTTGGTATGTAGTCTAGGCTGGCCTTGAACTTGCCTCCATCCTCCTGCCTCAGCCTCCCAAGTGCTGGGATTACAGGTGAGTTCCGTCACACCTGGCTTCAAGGGTGCATTTTACCTTAAATTCTACCTTTACCTCTCAACTGCTCTTTCCAAGGAAAGGAAATAAACAATAAGGACATTATGCTATGTACTTTTTCCACAGTCTCTCATTTAATAATCACAACAGGGGCCGGGATTTAGCTCAGTGGTTTCGCCATCTGCTGTGCAAGCGCAAGGACCTGAGTTCGATCCCTGGTACCAAAAAATAAAAATAAATAAATAAATAAAATAATAATAATCACAACAACCCTATGCTGTAGGTTGAATTCTTATTTTAGACTTGGGGATACTGAAAATTACAGATGTTTAGTAACTTGCCCAGGGTGCTTTAGGGACTAGGTGATTTGTCTTGAAACTATTTATGTAGCATTTAGGTTTCTTTCTTTCTTTCTTTTTTTTTTTGGTACCAAGGATCAAACTCGGGTCCTTCTGCTTGCAAGGCAAGCGGCGGAACCACTGAGCTAAATCCCCGGCCCTATGTAGCATTTAGGACTGAGCCAGGCATGGTTGACCACCCTTGTAATTCAAGCCCTTGGGAAGCTGAGACAGGAGGATCACCAGGAGTTCAGGGCTAGCCTGGGCTCTATAGTGAGACCTAAAAAAAAAAAAGCCTCCTGGGGCCGGGGATTTAGCTCAATGGCACCATGCCTGCCTTGTAAGCACAAGGTCGTGAGTTCGATCTCCGGTACCAAAAAAAAGCCTTATCAAAGAATGATGGTGCTGATGGAGATTATTGGAATGTCTGAAGCTCCTCGGTCCCTCTTGGGATGACCACTCTGGTGTCACAGTGAACGTGGCAGTGCTGAAGATGAAATTCCACCGCCCTTCCCAGAAAGACCGGTAACTCCAGGTGGCCCTTCTGAGCCGAAAACCCATCCTATGTGTTTCCCAAGTAATGATGGTGCTCGGAAGTGAGGTCTGTTACCAAGAACAAACGGGGCAAGCATGCCTTGTTCTCAGCCCCTTAAGAACCTCAGCTTCCCAGAGTCCCCCCACCTTTCTGAGACAGGGTCTTGCTATGGAGTTCCAAGCTGGCCTCAAACTCACAGTGGTCCTCCTGCCTCAGCCCCCTGAGTGCTGGGATCACAGCTGTGCATGTACCACTGTGCCCAGTTGAGAGGCGCTCTCTCTCTCTTTTTTTTTTTTTTGGTACGGGGGATCGAACTCAGGTCCTTGAGATTGCAAGGCCGGCACTGGAACCTCTGAGCTAAATCCCCGGCCCTGAGAGCCTCTCTTTTAATTCCAACGTTTCCTCTCAAGCTCTTCCCTCTCTCCACCCTACATTCTTCATTGTAAAGGTAGG